GGAACACACCACGTAGCAGATGAATCTCTGGGTGATGCCAGTTCTACAGCCACTGACAACCAGGCACCTCTGTCTGAGACCCAAGGAAGAAAAATAGAGCAGAATTGGGCGGGGATTTAGCTCAGTGGCACCACGCCTGCCTCGCAAGCGCAAGGTCCTGAGTTCGATCCCTGGTACCAAAAAAAAAAAAGAGAGAGAGAGAGAAAAAAAATCGAGGAGAACTGGAGGAGCCCTGAAAAGGGGTCACCATTCACCGGAACCCAGGAACTAAGCCGAGAGGCTCTGGTGATGGGAAGTAGGAAGGGGAAGTTGAGGCGAGGGCCTCAGTGTGAGAGAACTTCCACTTTCAGAGACTTTTTTCTATTTCGGGTCTTGCTAACCACTTGGGAACACTCATTTCTGGCTCGTGTTCTTAGCAGGAAAACACTTTCATGCTGAGGAGTAAAAATGGACCGGGGCTTGGAAAGTCCTGAGAGCATCTGTCTCTGCCCTCGGGGTTCATGGTCTGACGCTTGATTTGAATACTGCACTCTGAGGATTTCCAGGGGAAGCACCCAGGGCAGCCTTCTGACTGGAGATCTTATGACACACAGGCAGATTCAAATAAAGATGAACCTGTGAGGCTGGCAGTGTCTTCTGGGGCTGCAGAGCCTTGGTTCAGCACATACCTACAGCCCATCCCGTGTGCGCAGGGCTCCCTGCTGGGATCAGGGCTGGGGCTTGCCCTCCACCGGGACAAGTGCCACCACCAGGACAAGTGCCACCACCAGGGCAGCAGTGGCAGCAGGTGCGAAGGTGGATCACTGGGGGTCAGTAAGGACCCTCGGTCAAGGAAGCCTCCTCCGGGCCGGGCCTGGTGTCCTGTGGCTGCTGTCATGGAGTGGCACCGATGAGGCATGTCCCAGTGGAAATGCATCCTTTCAGCCCTGGCCCGCAGGGGTGGAGTGGGGATGTGGGCAGGTACTGCCCCCTCTGAAGCCCGCACAGAGGCTCCTTCCCCCTGCTCGTGTCTGGTGGCTCCAGCAGTCCTGGGGTCCTGTGGCCTTGGTCCCAGTTCTCCATCTTCACTCGGCCTCGTCTCCTGTGTGCCTGGGTCCTTCTTATGAGGTCACCAGGCACTGGATCAGAGGCCCCCTCACTCTCTGTGACTTCCTCTGACCTTGATTACATCTGCAAAAACCCTTTTACCAAAGAAGGTCACATGCACAGGTTCTGAGGGTTAGGACTCAAACTTCGGGTGGGGAGCCAGTACTGGAGTTGAACCCAGGGCCTTCCCTCTGAGCTACACTCCCACGTATAGGGGATTTTTTAAATCTTGAGACGGTTTTCATGAAGTCAGTAGGTTGCCCAGGCTGGACCTGAACTTGCGCTCCTGCTGCCTCTGCCTCCCGGAGTGCTGGGATGATAGGCACGCATCACCGCACCTGGCTCGTAAGGAGACTCAGTTCTACACCCTACACCCTGCACACGATGGCAGGCACCGAGCAGGCCAGGAGGGGGCTTTGGTGCCCGAAGAAGACGGTAGGTCTGGAGGCCAGCACAGGCAGGGGGCAGCGAGGGCCACAAAGAGGAGCCCTGGCGAGGCTTCCAGGGTTGCCAGTCACGCGTCATGTCTGTGACTGCCTGCCATTCGGGGACATCAGCAAGGAGACAGAAGCTGCTTCTGTCAGTGGTGTACTCTGCTCCGAGAGGCGCTGCCCGGGAATGGCATCCTGTGAGCGCTCAGGTGCAAGAGGTTTCCAGTCTTCAGAGCAGCAGCCTCTCATGTGACCCAAGCTCGCCTCCCGCAGGCGCTGTTACGGGTCCTCTCCTAGGACCCGGATGGACAGAACCACAGAACCTCTGCCTCCCCGGAGCTGCCCTGCTAATGGAGCAGGGGGCGTTGATGGCCGCACTCGTAGAACTGCTGGGCACGCTGGAAGGCATCGCGAGCAGTGGAGGAAGATCGAGCTGGGACAGGACCTGGCGAGAGCCGGGTTGAGGGACAGTGACTGCTGCTGAGAGAGCCTGGGTGCCGTGAGGATGGAAGGGAGGGTGCGCGCGAAGAAGCCAGGCAGGAGGCTCCTGCAGTGTATAGGAGAAGAGCAGGAGGTCAGGACACTGCAGAGGAGGGGCGCAGGAGTCAAGGGTCAGAGGTCACTGGGCGGAGACCACGCACCTCAGCTCCCTGCCGCCCCGACTTCACTCTCAGCAGCAGGCAGCAAACAGGGTACGTGCTCTGGCTTCCGTCTCAGAGCGCGGCCTTGGCTGTGCTTTTGAGAACAGATCTGTGATACGCCAGGGCAGAAGCAGGGAGACCAGCCAGGGGCTGTTGCCGTGGTCAAGCTTAGACCACGGCGGACACCGTGGAAGAGCGGCAGAGGCCGCAGTTTAGACACTTGTCGCTCGTGGACTGGATAAGATGAGCACGGGAGTGGATCTCGAGGGAGTCTGAGGCCCAGGCTCCAGGCTGCACTGGAATGACAGAGAGAGGCATCACTGTGAAGATGGAGACGACTGCACCTGGGGAAACAAACGGGGGGCGGGCGTGCAAACTGCAGTGAGGGCCGGACTCGGAACTGAGGTGCAGAAGCAGCCGGATGCGCTGCCTGCAGGCCAGGAGAGGGGGCATTTGGGGCTGTCCGCGCAAACATGACGTCGCCCTCCCTGAGCCCAAGGACTACTCCACAGATGGACAGGAAAAGACATCCGAGGATCAGGCTTTCAGGGCAAGTGTCAGGACTGTAAATTTCAGGGCAAGGAAAGGGGGTGAAACCGGCCAAGGGGCCAGTAAGAGCAGCGGCCGCCCAGGAGAGTGAGGTCCGTGAGGCCAAATGGGGAACTTGCTTCAAGACAGAGGCATTAATTACATCAAAGGGAGTTCAAGGTCAAGCCGGGAGAGAAACTCAGAACTAGCACCAGAGGAGGAAGTGATTCTATCTTGGAATGACAACAAAAGAGACCCCCCCTCCTCGGAGTAAACGGACATTTCTCTTCCTCCCCATGACTCCAGACACAATAATTACTTGGTTATCTGAATATGAGCCGCTTAGCTCCCATCCGTCCTTCACACTAGAGCTCTACTCCCTGGGAAGGAGCAGCCATTTCTGTCTTTGCATCTCTGGTACCTCGCACATACCATGGCCCCCAAAGATAGATGACCTTTGACTAAAGGGACAATGTGACTTCAGGCTGCAGACACACAGTGATGGAAGTAGCTGTTTCGTAAAGATTAGGTTTGGCTGCCGAACAAAGTAAAATTAGATCTTTCTCCCATATGCACGAAGTCTAGAGGGAAGTTGAATTAACAAGAAACTCTGTGGATTTCCATTTTTCTGCCTTATATCCTCAGACATGAACTCACCTCTTGGTTCATTATGGCTGCTTAAGTGCCAGCCATCCCTTCTACATTCTAGATAGCAAGAAGGAGGAAGAGATGCTGCCTCCTGCCCTCCCCTTAAGAACTCTTCAAAGAACTCCCTTGGGATGCTTGTACTTATATATTCCATTGATGAGAAACCTGCCAAATGGCTGGAAGAAGTTGCAAGGGAGGCTGAAGATTCAGTCATGATTCTGGGTATCCAGCTATGAATCACGGCTCTTATACTAAAGGTCTTCACCAAGCGCTGTTACTGAAGTTCCTTCCCCAGTCCTACTCCCAGTGCATGACTGTGACCAGTGGTCTCCGCACCGCAGCCCAACCAGCCTCTCCTAGAAGCCCAGAGAGCCCGGTGAGGACTCTGGCCTAGCCCCACACGTGGGGTTCTCCGTAAGCGGGAAACGCCACCCCCAGGGGCACCCTTGAGAGCCAATGGCAGGGAGGAAGAAAGGGCAGAGTAAAGGGGCTTTGGGTCTGCCCGGGAACTCGAGGCCACCATGAGTGTCGGAAGGGCGACACTGCACAGGCTGCCTTGTTCCAGGACGAGCAATGAGACAGACCCCTCCCAGGATCGGTGGGTCGCGAGGGAGGCACAGACCAGCCCCACCTACCCTCCGGGACCCAGGTGGCCAGGGGAAGGCAGGGTGTTGCCGCACCCGGCCCACCGCAGGCTGTGGGTGTCTCCAGGGAACCACACCCGGGTCACAAAGACTGCAGAGCCCCTTCAGAAGGCGAGATCCAACACAGCCCCTGTAGAAGCACAGGGCAGGGCGCGGCGGGGCGGGGCCTGGCTGGTGGAGAGGCAGGAAGGGCCGGGCCTAGGGAAGCAGAGCTGTCCTCGTCCTTCCGCACTCAGGGTGGCCTCCGCCAAGTCGCCTCTGTGCTGAGCGTCGGCCCGCCGACCCCTCGGCTGGGGCTCAGGCCCGGGCTCTGAGTGGCCTTCACTGTGAGTTAGCACTGCCGCAGACCGAAGGACACCCTGGAGGAAGCCATGGCCCGAGCTCTGTCTGGGATGCCTGGCTCTTGTGTTACGTCCTCTGCCACCTGTGCCACAGCCCTTCATCTTCCCGTCCCCTCCGTCCAGGTGAATCTCCTCTGCCCTGGTTCCCAGTCCCCACGCACTCACTCGACCCAGAGCCTCCCGGCAGAGCAGAGCTCCGTGGGCCTGGGGCGCCTTTTCCACCCCTCCCCACCCTGACCTGACTGTGCCGGCCCAGAGGGAGCTCTGCAGGGCCCTGTCAGGTGAGTGCCCCTTCCACTCCCTTTCTCATCCACGCTTGCGCTCCTTCGCTGTGCGTTAACGCAAGTTAGCCATTTCCGCTTCAGCTGGGGACTCTATCTGCGTCTGTGTCCCCCACAGGCACAATTAGAGAAGGTGTCCATCTAGCACGGTGCCCCAGGCCCAGAGCCAGGCTCCGGTTCTGACTCACAGGGGGTGTTCGCCCGGTATGTAGATGGACACATAGTCACGTGACCGCTTCACGTATTCACCAAGATATTTTTAAAGCAAGAGAGGACTGGAAGAAAGAAGGGAGGGAGGGAAGGGGAGGGAAGGGAAGGGAAGGAAAAGAAGAGAGGACACGGATGGGTCGGGAGCTTGCAGTGCAACTGAGGCAGGTGCTTATGACACAATTTTATCTAAAAGAAAATGTTGGAAAGCAGCATGTAAAATATCACGTAGACGATTGCACGTCAGAATGTGGGCTGTCTGTATTCAGTTGGAGTGATGACTGATATTAATTTGGTTATTTTTGTTTATTTAGATTTTCCAAAATACTCTAATTATATATCTCTACTGAAGCAAGAAAAAGTAATGTCCCTGATGTTTATGCGTGTGTGTGGGTCTGTAGGAAGCAGAAAGTTGGGTATAATCCAGCCTGGAGAAGGGGTGGGCGCTGGGCAGGGAGGCCCCAGGGTGGAGGCGCAGACCAAGGCCTTGCAGGTAGCAGCGGAGGACATCTGCTGCCCTTCGCTCCCCACCACCCTCAGCGGCGGCCCCAGCCTGCGGTGTTCTCGAAGGAGCTGCAAGGGTGTGTTTGGGAGACCCCTCCGGCCAGCTCCGACCTCCGCTCCCCTCACACCAAAGGGGGGCGCCCCTTCTGGGGATCCGGGAGAAGTGCACAATTCTGCACCCTCTGGAGCCACCTGAGTGTGTGGAGCGGGTGTCCACATTGGTGAAGGCCAGGCTGACGGGGTCTGTGGGCCACCTCTCTGTCGCCAGGTGGCCCCGGGCGGCCTCTGCATCTCGGAGTATCAGCTGTCGGTACAGTGGGTAATTCATGGGGCATGGTGGCCATGCAGCTCTCTCGACAGAAACTGCACCCACATCTGAGCCAGGAGCGGTGCCAGGCCAGCGAGTGCAGGAGCTCAGCCTGCCGGACACCTGGCAGCAGGTGACACAGGCACCCGGGACCCTTGGGGTTGAGTCCCAGGAAGGGGCAGATGGAAGCTGGGTGCTGCCAGCTTGCTCATCACAAAGAAAGCCTCCCCAGAGAGGGCTGGGGTGGGGCGGGAGTGGGCGGAAGGCATCCTCAGGCAGAGCATCTACTCTGCGCTAGAAACAGTGCTTCCTACAGGAGATCCTGCCAGCTGGTGGTCACTACCGGCCCTTGCTAAAGGAGGAGAGGTGCGTGCAAAGTAACCTGTTCAAGGCCACACAGCCAGAACATGGCCTCTCGGTCCTCCCTCTAAGCAGAGACCCGTGGGGGCTGGAGAGGCCACCACCGAAAGGCAGGCCTAGTGTCGCCCCTGCGATGGGGCAGGGTGGGCTGGGTGAAGAGGGAGACCGGAAAAGCTCTCTTCCCTTCGGCAGCTGCCTTTCCATCTGTACCCACCCAGCAGCCCTGTGCCAGGCCTGCAGATCCCAGAGGCCCCACCCGCCTGCACCACCTTGACTTTGAAGCATTCCCCTGGCTCCCGAAGCTTCCAGCATGGTCCTCGGCAGCCCTCTCACCCAGGGCTTCTCCTCCTGGGGATGGAGGTCTCAGTCAGAGCTCTGGCTCACAGAGGGCCTGTGGCTCAGGGTCTGCAGCATCCTGTGCCCCCGTCCTGTCCCCCAGGCCACAGGCCAGATTCCAGACACCTACTGGAGGGCAGGGGTGTGGTGGATGTAGCAGGGCTGACCTCGGGACTGCAATGGGAAGGGCCTCACCGGGAGGGCCAGGGCAGGCAGCAGCAGAGAACCTGGCCCAACTGGGCCTGGATGGGACGGGACAGGACCTGCTGGTACCTACCATCCACTCTGTGTCCAATATTTCCAGTGCTTCCTGTCTTCCTCACACTGTTCAAAGCCGTGAACAACACAGAGACTATCCTAAGTCTCCTTGAGCTCCTCAGCCTTCAGAGGCCCCTGGGTGGTCCTAGAGTCAGGGCTTAGGAATTCGGATGCCTGTGGTTCTGACCCAGAGGGAAGCCGAGAACTAGACGGCTGGCTGTGCACAGGAGTGGGACAGGAGCCACTGCAGTGGCAGCGCCCAGCTGTTCTGGGAGGCAGGAAAGCCTCCTGCTGCCTGTTGCGTGACCTCTCCTCCACCAGCCCAGGGAAACCAAGGTCGGGGGACGCCAACCTACTGGACTGGTACTGCTTGTGGGGGGCTGAGCGTCCAGAGACCGTAAGAAGGCGCCATGGACAGCTTTGAATAAAGATGAAGGAACTGGAAAAATAGCAGAGTGGTGACTGCGTTTCAGACACATGATCTGACATCACTGTTGTGGTTTTACAGATTAGAAAATTGAGTCCAAATAAAGCTAACTAAGGTGCATCAAGCCATGCCACTCACAACGATGGAAGAGTGAATCGAATCCGAAGACTGCACCCTCCATGACCCTCCGGTGCTCCTCCTTCGTCCTGTTCCTCCATGCTGTAACACACACTGTGCCTGGTAGCTTGTCTCTCGGACTTCGAGCAGGACACATGGTCGGTCCCAAATGAGGATGCTAACAGTTGGCAGGTAGTTTGGTTTCTTTTTACAAAGAAATGAAAGTAACACCTCTTACATGTGAGAGCGGGGGACAGAGAGAAGCCAGTTGTAACCGAGGCGGAATCTGAGCATCACAGCAAACCCTAAATATTTTAGAGGGCACCAAAAATACGGACTTCGGCTCACCGGTGCTTCCTGACTCAGCTTCCGGCAACACCTGCAAATGGGAAAATGAAGTCGAGATCACTTCCAGACAGGGCAGCCTTGACACTCAGAGCAGGAGCCCACGCCCTGCGCGCAGAGCCAGCCACTGTGTATTTGGGGCTTCACAGGCCTTAGGTCTATTCACCTCCACAGCGGGGCATGGCAGACACAGACAACAGGTATGGATGGACAGGCATGGCTCTGTTTCTGTACAGCTTCACCTGCCACGAGCGAGGGCCTGGCTTGCCGATCCCTGGTTTGCAACAGGACCCTAGTAACCCACCATGTACTGGGACCCCAGGGGGCTTCACCTTTCCAAAACCAATGTTCACTCGGTGTTCACGCTGGGGCCCTCTGTGCTGGGCTGTGGGCTTCCGTACACCAAATGGTGACCCATGCTCCCCACTCCCAGTCTTCCTTAGGGGGAAACCTGCTGACAGTTACCCCAAGACCAGAAGTGCAGGGAGAAGTACAGAGTGGAAACCTCCCAGAGCTCGTGAGAGTCCCGAAGCTTGGTTCTCCCTACAACTCCATGGCATCTCTCAGCAGAGGCCTCGTCTGTCCCTCCTGCACAGGGGCTGGCTGCCACTGCAGGCCTACTCGTGGGCACCAGCCTGAGGTCTCAAGCCCAGAGCAGGACAGCCACACTGGAGACGGCCAGCCCTGGAGAAATCCAAGATGAGCTGCTCTGGCACGCAGCCCTGTTACCCCTGGGGGACAAATGAGAACACGGGGCCTCCGTGGGAGTTGCCTCCGTGGGAGTTGCTTCCATTGAGGGGCTGGGGGAAGCTGGGATGCAGAAAGGTGGAGCTGGCAACCAGCCCAGTGGGAAGGCCCGGTCAGCACAGGGCTGACCTACTGGACTTGTGCTGTGGGCCTTGGACCCCAGGATAAAAGAGCCCTTGGGAAAGAACTTCATCCACACACAATGGTAAGCTTGACGCTGCTCCTGTTTTGTTCTGTGAAGGGCCAGGTAGGAAGTATGCTATTGTGGGCTATCACCTTGGTTGCAACTACTCAACTGGGCCATTATCGAGTAAAAGCTCTGAACACACCATGCATAGCTCAGAGAGACGATGGCATGTGGGGAAACCGACACCCTGACATCATGAATCCTCAGTGGAAGACATACCTGAGCTTTCCTACAGCTGCTGGTAATGAAGGCAGCACAGGCCTAGTGGGAGGATGTACCAGGGAGAGTGCTAGGGGCTTTGCCTAGATCTTCTCAGGATAGTGCATCCCTACAACGTCAAGAGACGCTGTGGTACATCACGTATGTCATGTAGCTTCATATAAGTATGTAACATATCACATTAACCACACAGCAAGTGTTGTGTGTTGTTCAATAAGCAACCTTCAGCACAGAGCTGTTGCTGTTTTCAGCACTGAGAACACAGCTAGGATGAAGCTCAAGCTGATTACCATGGCAGCCTTTACCTTCCACCCTCTCCTATTTGAGAGCACCCCAGGGAACAGCCTTGGTAGGAAAAAGAAATAGATGGAGACCAAGAAACCCTCTGAGAAACTCGAAAGCCTCTTTCTCTCCCCAGATGGGAGTGTAAAGAACACTCAGGAGGAGCGGGAGATGGAGTTTCCAGTGTGACACGGGGGCTGGAAAGTGCTTCTGCATAAAGGTCACGCTTTGCCTCAGCACTGCCAGTCACTCCGGAACCCCAGGGCGACCTCCACACCAGAAAGACAAGCTCCAAGCACATCCAGGCAGGGACAGTCCGATGAGCAAACAGGAGCGATGGCACCCCAGGGACCCCACTCTGCTCCCCATCCTGCTGGGCTAATGACAACCTCGATGATGATATTTGCGGGCTGCTGCTGTGTCGGCCACATGTGCTCAGAGGTCTCTCCACAGCTGTTTGGTCGGTCATTAGGCAGAGTCAGTGCGGCCCAGGAGAGGAGGAGGGGCTTCCATGGTTCTATAGCACAAGAGGGAACCTGTGGCGACACAATTAGTTGCGTATTTCAGAACACCCAGTAAGGAGCAATTTGAATGTTCAGGCACAAAGAAATGACAGTGCTTGAGGCAAGAGGTACACGGTGCCCCTATCTGATGACTGCACACGACATCCACACTCTGAAGCATCAGCCGGCTCCATGGACAGCCATTACTATGTGTTGATTAAAAGTTTTTTAAATACTTTTTAAAAGTCTGTGCAAAAGATGATAAATAAACTATTCCCCATTTAACCGATGAGGAACTCGAGGATCGAGATCTTACCTGGAATCTTAGAGCTATTTAGCAGAGGAGAGGAGTTGGAACCCAGAACTCAGCAACCTGACCAACAGCTTCTCCAGGGACTGCCATGCCAGAGGGAGACAGCTTGGCATGTGGCAGTGGAAACACACACACACACACACACACACACCCCTGAGGGTCTGGATTATATAGAAAAAGATCTTAGATCCTTTGCTTCTAGTTGGGTGACCTTGCACTAACTATGCTCAGTGTCCAATGTCACTGGTAAAATGGGGACATTCTACCCGAGGTGCTGGGCTGCTGGTGGGCATTGGGACACAAGCACAGTGGCTGTGAGCAGCCCCTTTACAACGTCTGTGATCACATAGGGCCCACAGCCTCCACAGTGTGACACAGGTCCTCCTCGAATCTGTGGCTTCTCCTTGGCTTCTGGAAAGAGCCCTCCTCCTCTCTTAAGGTGCCTGCTCGAGTCCACCGAGCCCACCACCACACAATGCGTAAACATACTGACTCGCCACACTGCTCCTGGTAAAGAGGTACAGTCACTACCTGTCAAGTGAAAAAAGAGAAGCCGGACCCCAGAAGCTTGTACAAAACCGTCTCAGGACTTAGTTCATAGGTGCCATCAAGCAAAGGCAGTTTGAAGAGGTAAGGTGATAGTCCCATCTTGTCATGTCTCAGATGTGGTGTGCGGAGGGCAGGAGGCTCCCTCCAATTCCTCACCTGTAAAACAGGGCGCTCGTGAAAGAGCACACCGCAGACGGAGGCAAGGACGACGAGGCGAGGTGACCCCGGGAGACGCTGAGCAAGAGCTCAGGGTGACGGTGACCAGGTGGAGCACTCAGCTCACCGCACAGTGCAGGCCGACACACTCAGCAGGTTGTCCACGAGGAGGAGTAGATACAAAAGGTCGTATCTACCATCCACACTGCTAGATGCAAGGAAGAGTGGAGGGAAGTCTCTGTTTCAGTGGGGCCCACTGGACAGCTGCCCTGGGCTCACCAGTTTCCTAGGAACTCACTTCCATGTCCTTGCAAACTAGTGCAGTGCTGGGGGTGAATGTGTGGGCTTGGGTGTCTGACAGACTGAGCTCACACTATGGGGCTATGACTTCAGGAAGGAGACGTCACCTGCCGACCCTGGAAGGGGCTCATCTTTCTCACGGGAGTCAGCACAGTGTTGCTCTGGGCAAATGAACTAACTGGGGCGCTCCACGTAAATCTGGCACCAAGCATGCTAGGACTCTGACCTGCGGCCTGGGGGGCTCTGTCACCCTCCTGTCCACTTGCTGGCATTTCTAAAGGAACTATCAGTTTATGTCCTAAAAGAGAAGGCTCAAGAACTGAAGGGAAATGCAGTATGACTGATCACTATTGCTAGAGATGTCTTCCTGCTAAAAACGGCTCCTCGGCTAAACCAGACAGAGGGATCTGACCTCATCCCTCTTGCAAACTATATTCCTGCTCAGTAACTGTGATGTGACAGCCTTTGAATTCTAACCGTTTAGGAGCAGCCCACAGACGGCACTTTCTGCATGGGTCACAGGGGTGACTCTGCTAATCCTTGTGTTTTCTCCTGTAAAACGGGACAAGATTGGAAACTGTAAATCAAAAGCACATTTGCTGTCGGCTCTCTGCTTGTTCCTCAGAAACTTAAATCTTGAGGCTCTTGAACTACGTATTTGTGCTCATCGGTCTTGAAAGATCCTGATACACCTTTTCAAATTTCAACATCCACAAAAATAAGTATGTCTCTGAAGCTAGTGGTGTGCTGCAGTTTAATTGGAAGCGTTTGGCCTTTTTTTGGTGCACATGAATTAAGAGTGAGCCATACAACTGAGGACCTCTTAGATTTGAGGGAAGAAAATAGATGCTGCCAAACGTGCTACATGTTAGCAAATGAGCTGCTGCTTTAAATAACAACATGCACATGATCACTCCTAACATACAGTGAGAAATCTGGTGCCCAGACTGTTAAAAAATGATTTTCTCAGGGCCGGGGATTTAGCCCAATGTTTCCGCAGCCTGCCTCGGAAGCACAAGGTCCTGAGTTTGATCCCCGGTACCAAAAAAAAAAAAAAAATGAGACCCCCCCGGTAAAAAAAAAAAAAAAAAGTGATTTTCTCAAAATTGCCTAGGACGCAGGAGGAAGAAATATGATGGAGCTCTCGTCACTTATCTATGGGTATGCATTCATGATCTTCTGGTCAAAAATTTGGGGAACTTGTCCAGCTGGTTCTCACAGGGGGAGACATCCCCTGGGCTGTGGTCATCTGAAAGTTCAAGGGACCTAAACATCCAAGATGGCCAAGCACATGCTGTCAGCTGAGGCTGGCTGCCAACTGGGAGCTCACTGGAGGCGACAGCAGAGCACTGTGGTCTTTAGTGACAGTCTCGGTGCTCCCCCAGGATGAGCAGCCTGAGAAGGCCAGGCAAAAGCTGCCTTTAGCATCACTGGCCTACAACACTGGAGGAAGAAAATAGCTGCCGTCCTTCAGTGGGGAACAGGTCGAGGAGCAGGGAAGCCTGATGTGACTGCTGCAAAGACCCCATGGTTGGAGCTGCTTGTCTGGCACCCAAGAGCACTGGAAGGGAGAGCAGGAAGTAAACATGGTGAGGAGGACCTTAAGTGAATGTAAGGCGCTGCCCATGACAGGCAGTTTCATTTCCGGTACATCCATGTGGTACCTTAAGCACTGGTCATGGACGCTCCCTTTGTCCAGAACATATCTGGAGCTTCAGGAAGAGGTTTCAGGGCCAACTTAGCAGGTTTACAAGAAATACCAGGCTTAGAATCGTGTCAGTTATGCCATAATTTTTGCTAAAGAAATGGCTCTACTTTGTTTAATAAATATTTAATGAGGACCCACTGCAGAATGTTCTAGTTTCTGTGGATACCCTGGTGAACAGAACAAGGCCTGCTTCTTCCGTAGGCTTGTATTTGACTGAGGACACAGTCCCCAAGCCCGTAAGGAGCTCAGGACATCACCAGGATGGCAGAGAGTAGGAAAGGAGGAGAGAGGCACTCGTCTCAGAAGGGCGGTCAGAGGTGGCCACGCTGGAGGCTGACGTTGGCTCACAGATCCACATGCAATGAGGAAATGAGCCAGGCAGGGAAAGAGTCAGAAGGCCAGAGGGACAGTGGAGTAAATAGGCAAGTGACAAAAAGTGGACCCCAGATCCACTCAGAGAGGCCCTGTCAGTGCAGAGGGAACTCTGGATCTTGCTCCAGGTGAGATGAAGAGTCCACAGCAGGGCTGTGAGGGGTGAGTCCCATGACTGAGTTTACAGTTGAAGGTTCCCTCTGGCTGCTGAGGGAGAAGGAATGGCCCAGTAGAAGTAGAAAAGCTGAGAGGAAGCTCCTACCAGAGTCTAGGCTGAAGGTGGTGGCAACTTGGTCTAGATGGTGGTTGGGTCAGAAGAGGGTGGAATCTTTGCTGGAAGATTCCGTAAGACTTGCTAATGGACACACCTATTAGTTGATCCTTCACCTCCATGAAAACAAGATGTTTCAAAATCATGCTTAGTTCTGGCTCCAATTCAAAAGTGACCTCTTCAGATGGGGACGATTTGGGTAGTAGGAAGTGGGAGGCCCCGGCCACACTGGTTCGTCTCAGACTGGCCAGGGCTTCCTTGTCCCTCACTGCACAGAGTGGGGAGGAACAGAGATTATAGTTTTTCCTCCCTACCCTACCCCTTAGCAAGAAAGATGCGAGATTAGAAAACAAGCCACTGGCTGGAAAGACCCTTTCTGAAGGAATTGAAAAAGATCGAAAGCCTTCCAAAGAGGCTACCAGAAGAGACCTGCCCACATTTGCACAAGCGAGTTTGGGTATTTCAGCCACCTCCTTGGTGACACAAGTCGGTGGTCACAGTGCCTTCCTTACAAGCGAGCATTGTCTGAGGAAAGAAACCACCAGTGTGGCTGTTTGGGCCAAGCTCGGGGGAGTTTCATGCTCTGCAAGTCTCAGTAGCAAAAGGGTTATGGTTGCCAGTGATGGGTTGAAGCCCATGTAGTGACTACCTTCCCCTTCATTTCATTTTGACAGACATATCTATGTGTCAGGCAGTGTTCTACCTGATTCACAAAATGGTCATCCAATATCCTGAGTGCAGTACCACCATATCCCTCAGTATTCAATTCAGATTTACTGAGTATCACACAGATGAGCAAAGCCAATCAGAGAAGCTAAGTGACTTGTCCAAAATCACACTGCAAATCCCAGATTAGGACCTAAGAATTCTGGATCTTGGGTATAGACTCTTAAGCTTTGTGCTAAGCTGTTTAACAGTGTTTTTTTGAAAATCTGAGTATCTACTAGGAATGCTTCGAGCTGCAAGTAACAGACAACCTAATTTAGAGGAACGAAATTGTTTCATACAACAAATTCAGTCTTCTGTCTTGGGTTGATGGAGCAGCTAGATAACGATGGGAAGGGCCCAGGGTCTTTTTTGCCTGTCCTACCTTACCTGAAGACCAACAATCTTCATTTAACAGACTGAGATCTGCTGGCTCATCACCTCATGGTTACAAGATAGCTGCAGCATCCCCAGCTATCATGTACAAATATCAAAACACCAAATTGTACCCTGTAATTTAGCCCATAATTATTATGTGTCAAAAGTAAAGCAAAGCTAAAAAATGTACAAATAACATTTTTAAATTTTTATTACTACATATTTGCAGTATGTCATATTTACAATCTTTGTGTGAGATTGGTATGTGTACAGAACACACCTTCTTTTTTTCATCCTGTTCCTCTCTTTACTTCCCCCTGCCTTTATCTCTTGATCCTTTTTCCCCATAGAAAGATCTATCTCCCTACTTCCTATTACCTTTTATTTTGCTCTTTATTTACAATTTCAGTTTCTCATATAAAAGATATCATGATATTTAAGATTGTGTGTCTGATTTATTTCATTTAACATGGTCACAAGGCCCATCCATTTTCCTACAAATGACTCAAATTTATCTTTATAACAAAGCAGCAATGCATCGTGTGTAAATACTGCATTTTCTTTATCCATTCATCTATTGATGGACATAAAGACCACTTCCAAGATTAGCTATTATGAATTGTGCTGCTATAAACATGGGTATGGCATGTATCATTGTATACTGATGCCTTTTACTTTTTGGGAAGATAACCTGGACGGGGAATAGCTGGGTCAAACGGGATTTCTAGTTTCAATTTTACGAGGAATCTCCATACTGATTTCCATAGTGGTTGTACTAGTTTACACTCCCACTAACATTGTAGAAGGGTTCCTTTTTCCCTGCAGCCTTGCCAGCATGATGTTATTTGATTTCTTGATGACAGCCATTCTTTCTGGGGTAGGATGGAATCTCAGTGTTGTTTTAATTTGCATTTCTCTAACGGCCACAGATGCTGAATTTTTCTTCAGGTAATTACTGGCCATTTGTACTCTTTCTGTGAAGTGACTATTCATTTTACTTGCCCATTTTTGTTTGAATCTTTTATTTTGGGGAGAGGGTGTAATTTTTTTGAGAATTTTACATGTTTCTAAAGGTTAGTCCTCTGAGTAAAGGCTGGTAAAATATTTTTTTCCCATTCTGTAGGCTGTCTTTGTACTCTGTTGGTTTTGCTCTGAAGAAGTTCTTAAAAATTTGTTATGATCCCATTTGCTGATTCCTGTATTTCCAGCACAACTGGGGCTCTGTGGAGAAAGTCCTTGTCTTCCTGCAGGTTAATGCTTCTGGTTTAACATTCAGATCTTAGATCGATTTTGATTTTAGTTTAGTACTCGGTGAGAGAGATGAGTCCAGATTCACGCTACCGCATGTGGGTGGCCAGTTTTTCCACCATTTATTAAAGAGGCTATCTGTCCTCCAGGGTATATTTTCAGCCCCTTTGTCAAAGATCAAATAGTTGAGTGTGCTTGGCGTTGTTTGTGCTTCTTCTGTTCCACTGGTCCTCACAGCTGTTTCTGTGCCAGTGCCAAGCTGTTCTGTCACTGTAGCTTTGTAACACAACTTCAAGTCCAGGACTGTGATGCTTCCTGATTTGCCTTGTTATTCAAGATTTCTTTTGCTCTTCCAGGTCTCTTTTGATTCTGTATGAATTTTAGGATTGTTTTCTCCAGTTCTGTGCAGAATTCTGTTGGTATTTTGATTGAGATTGCATTAAATCTGTGTTTCAATTTTGGAAGAACAGTCATTTAAAAATGTACAAGAACTCTTAAGTCTCAAGAATAGGCAACTGAAAAAATGAGCAAAGGGAGTGAAATAAGACAGACAAAGACTGCATGTTTTCCCTCATACATGGAATCTAAAAAAGATGACAAGAAAATAGGTTGGAGGCCATTATTAGGAAAGAGGAAGGAAAGGGAGTTGGAACAGGGTGGATAGACATGAGCAGAAGATATCACACACACTGAGCCCCCCAAGTGTGACACTGGAGGAGAAAGGGCAGGCAAGGAGGGAGATGGGGGTGAAATGATTATCTCTTATGTGCATGTATGAACCTGTCAAAACCCACTAATCTGCATAACCAATGGAAAAACAATATATTCATACACACACACACACACACACACACACACACACACACACACGGAGCTAAGGACCCAAAAAGACAACCCAAAAAGGATACAAACAGATGGCAAATCAAATAAACATATGAAAAGATACTTCACATCATGTGTCAGTAGAGAAATTTAAATTGAAATGAAATACCACACATTAGAATGCATATCAGAATGGCCCAAGTCCAGGATAATAACACCACCAAATTCTGGTGAGGATTTGAAGCCACGGAAATTCAGTCATTGCTGTGGGAATGCAGAATGGTACAGCCACTTTGGAAGACAATCTGGCAGTTTCTCACAAAACTAAACACACTAGAAGAGGACATGCAACTGCAGGTTTTGGCATTTACACAAATGAGTTAAAAACATATCCATACAAAAACTTCCACAAATGTTTATGGCCGCTTTATTCAACGTTGTAAAACTTGAAGGCAACAAAAATGTCCTTTGGTGGATGAATGGATCAATAAACCATGATACATCCCAACAATGGAGTACTATTGTGTGCTAAAAACAATGAGGTATCAAGACATGAAAAGATATGGTGGAAATTTAAATGCATACTACTAAGTGAAAGATGTCAAACTGAAAAGGCTATCTGCTGTATGATTCCAACTGTGTGACATTTTTGGAATAGGCAAAACTAAGGAGACATAGTTCCCTGGTGATACCAGAAGGTAAAGGGATAAATAGGGGCAGCACAGGATTTTGAGGACAGTGGAATTAGTGTGAATGATTCTGAGATGAGGGGGTTCATAGTATCAATTTATCAAAACAGAATTATACAACGCAAGAGTGAAACAATGTAAACCATGGACTTTAGTTACTCATAATGTATCGATATGAGTTTATAAATTTTAGCAAATGTAGCAATTTAATTCAACATGCTAACAGGGTGTGGGGGGGTGGGGAGAGAGCATGTAGAAACTGTACTTTCCACTCAGACTTTCCACTCTGTAGTTTTGGTAAATCTACAATTGCTCATAATGAAGTCCATTCATTTGCTACATCTGTGGGGCCCAGCATCATTTATATTCCTTAGTCTCTGGCCTTTAACAACTTCCAGTCATTTTCCCAGAATCCGTGCTCTCCCAAGCCGTGGAGTTTCTGACAGGGAAGACACGTACTGAACACACAAGAGGCTGCAGCCAAAGGCATCACCCAGAACCCCGCTAGCACGGTTCACCCGGAACCCCCTCCAGAGCTCTTGGAAGGTAGGTGGGAGCCACTCTGACCTCAAGCCTTTCCCGCCAGGGCAAGCTGGCCTAGAGTTGGGAATTTATTTTCAGGGAATTTATTTCAGATTCACCACCACCAAGGATTTCAGATCAAAGGTCTATGAATCATAGGGCAGGTGAAGTCAGTTCTGAGTTTCCAGGTTATGAATAGAAAGAGTATCAGAGGCACTGATGGCTTGAAGGCAGGTGAAACGCTGTGTATGTGGTTATGTGTGTTGGGGGACAATGCCCTAAACAGTGCAAACCAAACTCGCCAGCACTTTATTCTACCGCAGAAGGCAGCTGCTCAAAGTGTGCAGCCAGCCACCCATTGACCCTTTGTTTATTCACTTATTTGTCTACACTTGTTGGCCACGTAAACCTTGCTAATGATGCTTTCTCCATTTCATGTGCTGCCTTTTGATTTTATTTGGGTTAATGTGTAAAACGCTAACAATGGGCTCTGGAAATTCAATTACAGATTGGAAGCCTGTAAAATCAGGGATTTCTCATATCAGAAAGGGAACGGGGAAGGAAGGAATGGGCTGAGTCCGGGTTCCTGTGATGAAGACCCACAGGGCAGGAAGGAGAGGCAGAGAGGCTCAGCTGCTTGGCTGCAGGAGTCCGAGCCGAACAGCACTGCAGACTCCGCTGTTCCCATGGGGAGCTGCCCGGCTGGGACACAGCCTCAGCCACGGCAGGGGTCAGGAGCCAAAGCTCATGTAGGAGCACAGAGCTAGGGCAGGGCCAGGCCAGCCAAGTCCCCGGAGACCACCAAGTGCGGGTCCTGGTGGCTCTCACCCACGCACAATGACCTTTCACCCGCAGAACCACAATGTGTCCCCAGACCCACGAGCACGGTCAAAGCCAGAGGCCCAGGCTCAGCCCACGTGGGAAAGCCTCAGTGGGGTCCCCGCGCCTGCGTGTGAAGCAGAGCCTGAGGGCCCTGTGGTCAAGTTCACAGTAGGGGGATCCCCTCCATCCTCCCGCTGCCCAGCCCCAGGGCTCAGGGGAGAGCACTGCCGATGAATCAGAGCGGCTCAGAGCCCTCGGGAGGGCATAGCACCTGTCACCAGGGGCCAGGGCAGCTGCACGGCACTGGGAAGCCCGATTTTCATGGGTTTCTTAGGATGCATCACCAGTTCACAAGAGGAGCCATCTGCAGGTGACAGCAGACCGGAAATGCCAGGAGAAACACATACAGGTGTGTTCTGTTTCTGAAGGTTATTTAAGGGCATACCTGGCTAATTTAATCATCATGGTAACAGATGAAAGCCCAGAGAAAGTTAAGGACTTATCTAAACTCCACACCTGGAATTAGGCAAACCTGGGAGCAAAACGCAGGGCTCCATCTCTTTCCTTACCCCTTACTGCCTTGCTTAGAAAAAAAAGACCAAACAAAGCCCAAAATCGTAATATTAATTTTAATTGAATGACAGAGCAATAGGAAAGAAGAGTACAGTCCAGAGGTGGCGTCCCGGGTCTTCCGGACATGGTCTCTGCCAAGAGCTCCAGGTTGGGCTGTGCTGGGAGCCCCTTCCCCAGCCAACACCTGGCAGGGGGGAGTCCAGCAGCACTCAGGGGCAGTCCTGGCAGCACCAAGAAAGGCCTGTTATTCACAGCCAAACAGCAGGAAGAGGTTCCCCACGTCCACTGGGCAAATGCGGAAGGTGAGGTCCAGGCGAGGGCAGGACCCATCCAGGAAACCCTCTGGCTGTGAAAAGAGCCCCAAGCATGGATCCAACACCACTCTCTACTGCTGGGGAACTCACTGGGGCACCGCGCTGTTCCCTAGGTTGAAAACAAAGGAATTTCGGTCTCACTGGCAACCCTTAGAATTTCACGTACTCTGTCTACTGGGTTGGCAGAACCTCCCAGGCAAGTGGCTGATTTTGACAGGATGTGATGTAGCTACCTAGATGGCAGTGGACATGGCTAGCCGGTCAGCCGACATGTGAGAATGGATCCAGAGGTCCAATGCGGAAAGCAGATAAAGAACTCACTTGGTTCAAGTCAAAGGTGGTGTAACCACTCGATGCACTACAGCTGGGTAGCAGTTCAAAGGAAAGAGGTGGGTGATGCGGACTGCACCCCTGGGAGAGACTACATAGGCTGGGTAATACTCTTTATCACAGGTCTATAGACTGTGCCTGTGTCTGCGTACACGTGCACAAATGAATTAGAAAGATCTGCAAAGACGTGTTCCAAAGCGATGACAAATGTTACACAGAGACAATGAAGAGCCCAGCACTGGAGACGGAGAACTGCAGGATGTTTGGCCCTATTGGGAAAGCTCTTTTTCTGCCCCAAGACAGATGCGTTCTCTTAGTATTTGTGTAACGAAAGATTGACATTTATAAAAATGAGAAAGCAAACAGAATTTTAATGACTCCCCTACAGGTTTGAGTGCCTACGATGTGCTGGCCCACTGCAGGGTGAAAAGCACAGCCCCTGTCCACCTTACAGTCTGACCATGGGCAGCGGTGGCTCGCTGGGTGAGCAGGATGAGGCATGTTAGTGTGTGTCGCTCAAACAAGAAAGTAGAGCAGAGGAGGGAAATCAAGAAAGTGCCCTCCATGCTCCACTGGAGACCCGAGGCCAGAACAGTGCCCCAGGAAGTCCTCCCAGGGCTCCGCTGAGGGGCGGGGAGTCCTTTGTCATTTTAAAGGCGGCCCCACTGCCTCTGACTTCAGTCTTCCAAGGAACAGCACAAAGAACAGCTTGCGGTTCCCAGGGTTCCCAGGCATCTGACCCCGCAACAGGGAGGTGGTTTTGTTGCTCTTGAAGGGCATCAGCTGCTTGCCTGTTTTTATCAGTACATATGGTTTACTCTGCTAGGCTACAAACGGCCTCCACCAAAACTGCTGTTTTGATTTGGGTTTCTAAAAATAACTCCTGGGAAGCCTGCAGTGTGAGAGGAAGATGCTGTACACAGCTCCGGGAGGAAAAGTACGAAGCATTTGATCTGAATTACCTAAGGGCTGAAACTGAGTGCAAGTATCTATCTCCTTGCAGCAACTGCCATATAATTAGCCATCCTAATAGAATGCTTTCAAAGCCTAGGCAGTCCAACAAGTAAGTTTAATTGAAAATAAAATTTCCAGACCAACTGTTTTGTCAAAACCACATTAAATGAAGATAGCTCAGCAATGACTGAAGCCCCGGGGAGAAGTGTGATGTGGACGGAGACGGGCTGGGAAGGAGGGAGGGGTACACAGAAAAAATCGGTGGCGATTTTCTGAGCTCTCCGCTCCAGTTCCTGCATCTGCACAGTGCTGGGGGAAGAGCATCCAATTCGCTCTGGGTCTGTATGACGGCTGCCTTTGCCTCTTGTGTAGGTGCTACAATCTCCAGGAGAGGAAAAGCCAGGATCAGACTCTCAGGCATGGGGGGAAGAGAAGAGAAAGACGATGCTGGCCACGTGACCCAGCTGCTGGCAGCACAGGGCGCGTTTGTTCCGCTGGAGGAGGAGCACGCTTACCCAAGGGCTCCCAGAGCCACAGGCTGGGACTGCCTTAACATGTGGAAGTCCACCTTGGCTGCTTCCCCGCTGTGTGGCTTCTGCTGAGTCAGTCAGCATCTCTGAGTGGTGGTTTTCTCCCCTAAAAAATAAAGGAGGGGAGGGGAGGAAAGAAAGAGGCTTATTAGCCCACACCTTCTAGGGTGCTGGACGAGTCCATGATCTGTCTGGTGCTGCAGCTGGTGTCGGGCACACTGTGCCCTGTGAGGAGAGCTGAGGAGGACAATTGAGTCCTTCCTCCTTCTCTGAATGTGTGTGCTCGACCAGCAGCTCTGGCACAGCCTGGTGCCCGCTGTGCATGCAGACGCTCAGCCTAGCGGATGTGGATGAGCAGCTGCATCCCCGGGTGCCCCTGGACAATGGCTGGGCGCTCGGGGTGTGGTTCTGACAGGTGACTGGGGTCACGAGAAAGTGCTCTGTGCTACCTGGGATGAGGGTTATGGGTGGCCTGGGGGAGGCGCCCCAGCAGGCCGCTTCCTGGGCACGGGGCAGTCCAGACCGCTCCCCAGGGGCTGCCTGAGGCCCAGGACTCCACAGCAGGGTCCTCCATAGGCGGCAGGCCACTGCCCAGTCCACAGCCACATTGCTGCAGACACCCTGTGCTGGGGCAGAAGATGATGGCTGCAGCGGTGAAAAGAGAATGGGAAAGAAGGCACCGTAGCTCGCAGCCTCAGAGAAGACAGGAAAGCACAGCCGGCCCTCCCCTCTTCCCTGGCCAGGCCTAACTCACGGGCCGGAAGGGGAGTCTGAGGGCTGGCAAATGGAGAAGGTGGGGGGGAGAGAGTGACAGAGAAAGGAGGAAGGAGGGGGAAGAAAGGAGAAAAGGGAGGCAGGCAGGAAGGCAGGAACATTTGGGTTTTAAATTTAAAAGGCAGTCGAATCTGCAGGATCAAAAGGCTCCTGGAGAAAGCTAGGCCTCGAAGCCAACATCCTGTCTGCTCAGAGCCTCAGGGCCTGGCTCGTCACCTGCCTCCTGACAGAGCACACAGGGCCCGGGCCAGGCTGAGGCGCTCGCGGGGGAAACGGCGGCACGGGACGTCTCCTGTAGCTGATAGCTAGTGTGCTGGCTGCACCTAAGACCAAGAGCCGCTGTAATTAGCACATTAGGACCTACTTTCTCTGTCCCCAGCGGTGCTTACCCTGGTCCATTTAACTCAGGTGAAAGAGGAGCCGTCTCTTCCAGGAGATTCTGAAAGCCCGGACTCTAGACCTTCCATGACTCCATGGAGTTGACAGGCGCGGCTCACGCTGGGTGTCCCCATGAATGGAGATTAGGAAGCAGCCGGAGGTGGCAGATCTGCCCTCTGGGGCAGAGCACCCCTGACAGCACTCGCCTGTGGCTCCTTCTCACACCCTTGCTGCGAGGAAACACAATGCACCTGACTTTAGTGACACGGAGGTGGAGACTCGGCAGCGCTGGGTGGTGGATCAGGAAACAGTGCCGCCTTTCCATCCCAGTAGATGCCCTCTCTCCACAGCGGTCACGATGTCCCCGCCCCTTCTGGAAATGACCTGGGTGTTGCAAGCACCATACGGTGTCCCTGTGGTCGGTGGCTGGAGTCTTTACAAAAAGCACATCTGAGTCCAGCCGGACATTTATTCTCCTGCTCCGCGGAGTCACAGGGTCATTTTCTTGCACCCCAGCTCCTACTGGAGATGGCTAGTTGGGTGGTGAGACATCAGCTCTGGACTCAGATGCCGAGGGCTCAAGGGACTGTCCTGCTGCACAGAGCTAAGCTGACTCCTCCCACTTCCTTGGTTTCTTCATTCTAAAAGCTGGCAGAGGGCAACTAATACATATCACGTGCTACTCCAAGCACCCTGTACTACCTCTGCTCCTGATGTCTGAAAGCAAAAGTCACGGTGCACAGAAGTAAGTACTCACTACATCTTAGGCGTCATTTGAAACTGAGTTTCTTTGGTGAGCAGAAACCCACGGCATCCTTGGGGCTGGTGGGGAGGGGAGGAGCTGTGTGAGGAGATCTGACCCTGACAGGTGCCCACCCGCCTGTCCTCGGCCGCTGCTCTGCACTGCAGTCGGGCAGCGGACAGCGCCGCAGAGCTCCCCCTCTGCACCTTCCCGCTGCTCTCTGTCCTGGGGACGCTGCAGGAAATCTAACTGAGGCAGTTGCGGGGGGAACTGCTCCGACACCTGCCTGGCTGTTTCCAAAGTGAGTGGGTGATGTAACCCCAGGGCGGTGGACACACTGCACGGGCTGGTGCACTGCCGTAGGGCTTGATCCAGCAAGTCTGGAGGGACTGTGTGCATTCACACATTCTCCAAAGCAAGACCCCGCTGGCCACTGCTGTCTTCTCCATACCATATTCTCAGTTCTGCTCAGCTGAGGCAGACACAGACGTGTTCAAAAGGAGCACACGGCAAGGGGAAGCATCAGCCTTGGCCGAGACAGCCCTGGGAATCCTGTCATCTCTGCCAGGGACTGGCCAGGGAGCCTTGGCTCAGCCTGGCCAATGACACACAGGAGTCTACTGGGGATCTCTGGGGAACCTTCTTTCCTGACGGAAGACAGAGCCAACATACGAGGAGTCCTTTTCCTACCCAATATTTCTGTCCCTCGAAGTGAAGGGTTGCGAGGTGAGGTCTACCTAGGAAATGCTAACCTGGCGGCATGAAGTAGTGCTAGTGACCGAACACATCCTTCCTTCTGATAATCTGGTCACATTGAGCTGGGTGGTCTGGAGGAAACAGAAGCCCTGAGCACGGCTGGTGGAAGTGGATGCTGTCACGCTCACTCTGGCAAACAACCTGGCCATACTTCTGAAATTACGCACATGCGTGCGCTCTGACCCAGCCTCGGTGCTCGGTGTGCAACAGAGGCTCCCAGAGTCCACGTGGGGCCAGGGGAAGGGTGCATCACAAAGCAGCTGCCCACGAGAGCAATGGACAGGCAGCCCGCAGGCAAAGCCCAGCCAGTGTGCCGAGCCCACAGTGCATGCTGTGGCCCGAATGTGCTTTGCGTGCTTAGTCCCTGGTGTGGCGACATGAAGCACGGGGGCCTCCTGGGAGGTCACTAGGGTGGCTGTCCTTCAGAAAGGGTTTCGAGGGTTCCCCTGGGTCCCTCAGTTTTCAGAGGGGGCTGTCCTAAAAAGAGCAGGGCTGGCTCCACCTGCCTCCCTGGCTTGGCGTTTCTCTGTGTGACCTTACACGCACACACATGCACACGCACACTCGCTGGCGGCTGTGAGCCTTCCAGAGCCAGGCGACGCCTTACCTAAGGGCTCTCACGCTGCACCACGGAGCCCTGATGGGGTGCAGTGTCCCGACGCCAGGACCCCAGCTCCCCACTGCCCCTCGTGTCCCTTCTCTGGGGCATGTGGCATCCTCCACATCCACATAGTGGTTCACAGTTCTTTTCTTTTCCTTCTGTGACAAGGAGCAATTTTTAACTGCAGGAGGCGGGTCACAAAAAACAGAAGGGTGAGGAGACGAAAGAGCAGAACTACCTCAAGTAGGTGCGACCCTCACATTCTGCCGGAGGGCTGGCCTGGTGCACAGGACGGACTCATGGGGCGGAGACGGGCCCTTTGGGACAGCACATCAGACGGCCACACTCTCCTGCGCCTCCTCTTCTTCTCCAGGGTGCTTTGGCTTCCTGGGACATGAGAGAGCAGAGGTACCAAGTGTCCCTGAGGTCGCTTCCTTCCCTAAATGTGCCCAGCTCTAAGAATATGTTTCTGGTGCACAACTTTCCTTTTTTCTGGGGTAGGTCTTCTAAAAAGCTCTCAAATAGTGATACAAGGTCCAAGGGAGGCTCTGATACCGCCTGATAAGTTACTCCAAAAGACCAGTTTATGCTGCCACGAGCAATGGAGGCTTATGCCAAGCTCCTAGGGCTTCTCAAAATAAACTCCACAGACTGTTATTTTAATCTGTGGTAGGCTGCTGGGACTGAGACACCACAGTTGCCCTGTTTGGGTGACCATGACTGTGATTCCTAGGGACCCTAAGTTCAAGAATGCTCCATCTTCCTCTCATGAAATCTGCCCAAAAGTGCTCAGATCTTCTTGAAGGAGAATTTCTGGTAGAAAGAGACTCTTTCTTTCTTGAGTAAGATGGAATCATAGTGTTGTTTTGATTTACATTTCTGTAGTGGCCAAAGATGCTGACATTTTTCAAGTACTTATTGGCTAGTTGTACTTCTTCTCAGAAGTGTCTATTTATTTCAACTACTTATTTTTCGATTGGGCTTTTTATTTTGGGGGTGCTCTAATTTTTTTTCAGTTTTTTATATATTCTAGACATTAATTTTCTGCCCAAGGTGTAGCTGGCAAAAAAAATTGTCTTCCATTCTGTAGGTTGTTTTTTTACTCTGTTGGCTGTTTCTTTCGCTGTATAATGTTTAAATTTGATATAATCCCATTTGTTGTTCTTGTTATTTCTTCTGCGATTGAGGTTCTGTTCAGAAAGCCTTTGCCCATGTCTATATCTTCATGGGATGAGAAAGGAGGTCCGAGAGGAGAGTGAGAGGTAAAAATGATGAAGATGTGGACCAGGGATTTGGCTCAGTGGTGCTGCCACCTGCCTCGCAAGTGCAAGGTCCCAAGTTTGATCCCTGGTACCAAAAAAAAAAAATAATAATGAAGATGTGATATGTGTATGTACCAATTCTCCAAGATGTATGTGAGTGTTATGTATTGCAAACATACACTAATTTACAAAACAAAGAGAGAAAGCTGTTTCAATGGGGGCCTGAGGAGGGGAATGGAGGTGGGACTATAAGTCTGGGGAGTGGGTGGTTGGCAGTGTAAAGCCTCCAAGAAAGAAGGAAACACAGAGGAACCATATATGGGATATCGGCATGAGAACCTCCGACTACACACCTGCAATCCCAGCTTCCAGAGGCCTGAGGCAGGAGGACAGCAGGCTTAGAAAGAACTAGGAAGAGTTCAGTGGTTCACGTTACAAACAAATGATACGTGTTTAAGGAGATAGAGATTTTAATTGCCTTGATTTAATTACTATACATCATATGCCGAATTATCACACTGCATCTCCCATAAACATGTACAATTATTATTATGTGCCAATAGACGCATTAGGCTAGGGACAAGGGCAAAGCCCTGCCTGCCTGTGGGGCCCGCGTCGCCTCTGCAGCCGGTCACCAGCCCTGGACCCCAGCTCTACAGCCACCGGGCAGGCGCCCACTCGGGCCTGGACACCCACACCAAGCCCTGTCCCGGCCCCTGTGGAGTGCGGTTAGGTCCCAGGCCCTCTGTTTATAGCCCTTAACTGGCCGAATGAACCAATCTAAGAAGTTTGATTAAAATGCTAATTGTGGGACCCCACCCCAGACCTACTGAGTTAGAAAATCTGAGGAGGATCCAGAAATACACATTTCAGCAAGTTTCTCAAATGATCATTTGGTAATTAAAGCACCCACATCACTGGCATCAAAAGAAGGAACTGAGGAGGCGCTGCATCAGGAGGATGGAGACCTCGGAGACCACTGACATAGGGAAGCAAAGGGCACAGGGAGTGGCTCTGGGTCTATGCCTGTGCAAACGTCCTTCTGCCCACGGGCGCTCTGGAAGTTCTACCAAAGCAGACACGTTTGTAAAATCATGACTCACCCTCAGCTGAGCCCATCTTTTAGCCCAGAAAGCACCATTCACACTCCATCTGGGACGGAGGACACGACTGCGATTCGAAAGAAGAGTCGACATTTCCAACACAACTTCTTGAAGACCCAGCCATGGCTGCCCGTGACCAGGCTGCAGGAAGAGACAGAAATAGCACTGCTGCAGTCAGCTCCACCTCTACTTCATGGCAGATCCCTTTCCCGCCACTGAGAAATTGACAAAACTGTGGGTATCCACCGAGGACAATATGGCGTTTTGAAGTACACATACACCGCTGGAATGACAAAATCTAGTCATTGAGGGCTGGGGATTTAGCTCAGTGGTTCCACTGCCTGCCTCGCAAGTGCAAAGAGCCAAGTTCAATTCCCGGTACCAAAAAACGAACAAACAAACAAACAAAAACCCAGTCATTGACATATGCTTTGCCTCAAATGGTTATTTTTGTGGTAAGGACTTTATATCCACTCCCTTAGCATTTTTCAAGATGTGCTATAGTCTTATCTACAGGTACCAGGTGTCAAGAGACAGTAAGTCTCTCGAATACACTCCTCCTGTCTAGCCAAAATGTTGTATCCGCTGACCCACACGCCCCACCTCATCATTTCTAACCAACTGGCGCTGGTAACCAGCACTCTGGTCTCTGGTTTTAGGAGGTCAGATTTTCTAGATTCTGCTTGTGAGAACATGCATTGCTGTCTTTCCTGCCAGGCTCAGGCCACACGCACATATGCATGCATGGAACACATGCACACATGCCAAACATCAAATGTATGTGTATTTAAGTTCCCTCTGTGATTACACTCAGACTGCTGTTATGGCTGCATCTAGACGTCCCCCAAGAGCCTCATGCGGTCAAAGGCGGGGAGCCTCAAAGGTGGCTGGATTAGGTGCATGGATGTGGATTAAGGATGGGATACTGGCTACTATGCCATAGAGAAGGATAAACTACAGACATTTCTAGGTAAATGGAGGCACCTCAAAACATACTCTTAAGTGAAATAAAGCGGACACACGTGTATAAGTATCACTTTGTTTCTCTGGTGTGAGAAATCAAAAGGGTAAGGACCAACATGTACAACAGATATTGGGAACTAGGAAGAAAATGTTCAAATGGGAAGGGGAACCAGGGAGGGGGAGGGGGAAAGTAGGAAGGAAAAAGAAGAAAAAGAGAATAGAAAGAAAAATGGCAACAAAGCTAGTATAAATAAGGAGGGGAAAGGGGGTTGAAGGGAGGGGAGGGGAATGGGGGAAAATGAAGAACCAAGTTATAGCACGGGCAGGTACAAATTTCCTATGATGAATGTTATCATTATGTACATCTAAAATGTACCAATAAAATTTATTTTAAAAGAGGGGTGTGATACTGGGATTAAGGGTGTAGATAACAGAAGCCATACCCTGGGTATGGGTGGGATCAATCAATAGGTTTGTAGCCTGGATGGAATATAAAGGGGCAGAAAGAAGGGAGGCTGCTGCTCTGCTACTTGCTCCCGACTACCACGCCATGGTGTTTCTACTCTGCGATGCCCCTCTGCCATGCTACCCAGCCTTGGAGCCAGCTGATTATGGACTGAAACTTCTACAAAGTGTCAGCTAAATAAACCTTTCCTCCTTTAACTTTGGGTATTGGTATTTTGTGTCAGCAATGGCAAAAGTGACTAAGACACCAACTATCAGAAGTCACCTAGACCAGGCTACCAAACTCATACTGGTCTGTGGCCTATTATGGCCACATAGCAGCGGGGAGTGGTGGGCACTGACAGAAGCTTCATTTGTCTTTCCACCTGCTCCCCATGGCTCCAGCTACAGTTGAACTCCGCCTCTTGTTGGATCAGCTTCAGCATGGGGTTCTCACAGGAGCACAAACCTTCCTGTGAACATTGTGTGGGAGGGATCTAGGTTTCTTGCTCCCCTGACTCATCTGGAACCCCCTGACTCATCTGGAACCCCCTGACTCACCCCCGTTACTGTTGGCACCAGGGACAAAAGTGATTGGGGGCCTCTGATCTAGACTGCACTGCAGAGTGCTGGTCCCCAAGGGACCTGCTGGTACCCAGAAGGTGGTAGATGAAAAGTGGCTGGTTGGAAACCAAGAATGAACTGATAAAATTCCAAACCCTATCCTGGGGTTCTCCCGTGCGTGTATCTCATATGTCAGCCCACTTCAGAGAGTCTTTTCTTCCAATGAGGAAACCAAAACAAAGAAAAGACAGTGTCGTGCCCTGGTGACATGCTCTGGGAGTCCAAATCCTGACCTGGCCATATCCCATCAGGTGCTGTCTTAAGCGTCCTAAGCTCCTAGTACAGTGCCCTGGGAGGCATGAGGAGGTAGGGAGTCTGTGCCAGAGAGGGCACCTAAGCAAACTGACCCTTCTGGTCAAAGAAAACAGCCCAAATCATTCTTTAACAACTGAGCTCACCAGCAATGTATCGTCCTTGGAAAAAATAAATCACAGATGATGAAGAAGTAAGAAAAAAATGTACAAACACATCCTCATCCCAATATATTTTTATACTTCTATAACTTTTTCTCGGCAAATATACATTTTTCTAGCCTACAAAGAAATGATACAATTTATGCACTTTTGTCAAAACTTATATAATACTGATTTTTTAAAATAAGGCTAATTAGTGGTGCTCACCTAGTCCTAACTTCCCTGAGTTTACGGCAATCCATACATTTCAAAGAGGGACAGAAAAAACCTTTCACTGGTTTCCTTTCCGTGTCCTAGCTTTGCCTGTTTCTCCCCCACTGGCGTGTTTGGGAGGGTGAAGGGGTTGATCTAAATGCCACGTGTCCACGCAGTGTGGCCTCGAGAGACATGCAAAAGACGAGTTGCTTTCCTCCTCATGGATGAAAATGAAGCAGAGGTTTCATAGCAACTGATAGAAAAGATCTGGAAAATTGATTTAAACGTCAAAGGGAAATGCAGCTAGACTAGAGAGGGCCTGGGGCAGGACCCCCACTCCAGGGTGAGGTCCTCAGGTGCTCCCCCAAGCACCCTGCACTGAGAAAGTTACGCACGAAGTTTTCCATGTGCCCCAGCCGAGGTCTACACACATCCAGGGCAAGTGAAAACACACATCCGCACAAAACCTCACACAGGAACCTTCAGAGCAGCTTATCCCAGAAAATAGAAGCCACCCAATGATCATCAACTGATGAATAAACAAAGAAAATGGAGCATAGTCATACAGTGGTGTATTTATTAACCCAATGAAAGAATGAAGCCCTGATACATTTACAACAAGGAGAAGCCTTGAAAATGTTACACCAAGTGAAAGAAGCACAGTACATGGGCGGCACACTGTATGGGTGCATTTGTATGAAGTGTCTACAGTGGGCAACTCCATAGCAACAGAAGGCACGTGGGACAGGTCGCAGGGGGAGCAGGCTCGGAGGAGACAGTTAAGGCTCTTTCTGAGGTAACCATATTTTTTTAAGATCAGTAAATTATCTGATTTGTAAAAGTCAGATTTTGCTATTATGGTAAAATGTGTTACATATTTAACTCATTTGTAAATTAAGTGCTTCTACATTGCTGACATATTGTTAAATGGATTTATGTTAAAATAAATTGTTAAATGATTTTGGCAAAAAATAAGATTAGTAAACTGTATGATACATGAATTATATCTCAACAAAGCTGCTTTAAAAGGACTTTTAGCCAAAAATAGTGGAGACCACTGTGATGGGCAAAGACAGAGCTAAGCTTCCGTGGTGAGACTTTAATGAAGGAAATGCCTGGCACCTGGCCTGGGCCCCGTGTCCCCGGGGAGTGGGCCTGGACCTGGTGACTGGGAAGTTCCCCTTCCCATAAGAAGCCTCCGCAGCTTGCTGCTTCTCCCAGGGGTCCCTGCCCCATCCCCAGACTGTCAGCCTTGGAATCCAGGAATTATTCATCCCATTCAGCCACCTGCTCCACAAGCATCAACAGAAAGCTCAGTGTCACACCTCGTCCTGCCCTGCCAGGTCCTTGAGCTTGGCTGGCTGTGTTCATAAGGACATGCTGCCTGCCCCCGTGGACTTGGCCCTGTGCTGGCAGGCTGACCTAGGCCACTGGAGAGAGAAGAGCCCACGGTGAGACACAGGCCTTCCTGCAGAACTGCCCACCTCGCCTTCCCAACCTGCAGAATGACATCTATCCCGATAACCAAGAGCCCCAACACTGGGAACCAAAGCTGGCCTCCCCCACTTCCAGCCAGTGAGTGACTTCAATTTCCTGTCCTCTGTTCCTCACTCTCCCATTTGTAACAGCCTGTGCTATGTAGGTTTAGATGAGCTTACACAGCAAGCTCTTTCGGTAAAGCGGTAGAGGGTAAGTATCTTGGTCCCTGCAGCCATATGACCTGGGTCATGGGAGCTCAGCTCTGCCATCATAGCATAAAAGAGGCCACAGACAACAGGTTAAGGAAAGGGTGTTCTGTGTTCTAACTACATTTTATTTATGGGCCCTGGAATTTCCAATTCCATTCCAAGTAATTTCTGTGTATCACAAAATACTGTCCTTTTGATGTTTTCAGAATACTCAGTGTGGTCTGGGGATATAGCTCAGTGATGGAGCCTATGCACAGGCTCTGGGTTCAATCCCCAGCACCAAAAAAAAAAAAAGAACAAAGAAATCACTGAAGCACTGATTGTAATAGTGCCAAAGTTGAATTCACTCTAAGTGTCTTTCTTGCCTGAATAATGGTGAAGATGGGGCCCACAGGATCAAATGGTAACATGGTGACATAGCTGAAAAGCACACATTGGTGTGGAAAGCCATTTAATAGAGTGTATTTAGTAAAAGAGCTATTTACAAATGAACATGTGCACTGCTATACTATTATACACATAAATAGGTATAATAGATGTGTCCACACAACCACCACTGCTCCTAGCAGTTCATTTAATTAGTTACCTCTGAACAATACAAGTATTTTGGCTTTTTCTAAGTCCTCACTGCTTTGTAATGAGAAAAGAAGTAAAGCTGGTACCCAGACAGGAGTCCGATCCACCTGAAGCAGCGTGACTGATATGTTAGTATCATTACCTGCTAACGTACTCCATACATGCTTCAGAAGGACCCACCACAACCCGGAGCCTGGTTATCCACTGGAGAGGTAAAGTAGCTGAGAAGGAGAGAGCTCATTTCCTGAGGAGGCTGCTCAGGTAAATGTGAGCACACAGGATCGCGCTGGGGTAGATTCCCAGGATATCTGCAGATGGGACAACCAGCTCAGTAGAAAGGGGTGGCCTCTTCCCAGGGCTGGAATGCACCTCAAATTATGTTCACAGGCACTCAGCTAATGAGCAACTGAACAGAAGGACTCCTGCTGCCTGGACTCAAAGCGAGGCAATGATTTTCCTTCGCCACCTCTGGGCAGCCCCTAGAGGATGGCTGCGAGGATAAATGAAGGCTCTGAGACCATTCTGCAATGACAGGTCCCTGCACACCCACGGCGGAGCCTTAATGCCAGGATCTGAACCCCTTTCTACAAGGGCTGACAAACTGGAATTTGAATCCTGATGGGTGCCAAAGTGCAGGGAGGAAAACACGTGTATGAACTGAGAGATGGAGCGGAGAAAGGCCGTGAGCAGCACTGGGTTCTGCGTGCTGTGCCGCGGGGTGCGTGCTTTTTATGGGCCTTCCCATGTGGCCGTGCCGGGCGGCCCTGCCTCTCTGGCACTTGTCTGTAATGCAAGGACAAGCTGCACATTTCAAATGGGATGACATTTTCCTGCAAGACTTTGTTCACATGTGTTGACAGGGAGGTCTTTAGGACCTGCGGCTCTGAAAATGCGATGTACATATCCGGTCTCTGGTCTCTGGTGCAGTAGGAATGAAAGGCTGTCCAGGTGGTAGAAGCTGTTGTCAGAATGTGGCTGGGTGCCCCTCTTAAGTTATTTATCATCTCCTGGTTCAAGATGACCATATGTTCCCCTGAATGTGTACAGGACAGACACTCAAGAAATGGCACCGGTGCCTGTCCTGGTGGGAAGGTACTGGGAGCTAAGAAAGCACTCGGAAGCTGGAGCTGATGGCTGAGGGAGGGGCCTGAGTGGTCTGGCTGGCCTCAGATGGCCTGGAACAGGTGAGGGGAAGAGGCCCGGCCTTTCCCAAGGACATTGCAAGAAAAGTAAGACTGAACATCTAAACAGAACGTGGGGTCACAGCTCACCGGAGTAGACTGTATTAGCTAGAGCTCTCTGGGAGGGAGAAGAGCAGCAGCTTGCCAGCCAAGGATAGCAGTGCTGCTGGGAAACAGTCGTCCACAGGCCAACCACGAGCAGAAGCCACGTGAGTGGGCTTCCATCGAAGTTCCCATCCCTGAAACAACTGGTAAAAGATTCAGATTCCAGGTCTGCCTCTTAGATTCATGAACTTGCGGTGGTGAGCTGTTGCTCCCCAAAGGCAGAGCCTGGGGGCCGCTCACGAGGAAGAGAAAGCTCTGCTTCAAGATCCAGCTGGGTGCCAACGCTCAGGCCAAAATGTAGAACTGTCTCCAGGAACTGTGGAACGCACAAGGCAAGCTGGGACTTCTCTGCAGGTTGCTAACATATGTAAACAAGGAAAGAGTCTTAACAGCTAGGAACTAAAGGACACACAGGTATACACACACAACAGATATGTAGGGTGTGAGTGAAAATATGGTGTGTGTTTAAATAAAATATATCATAGCTAAAGGCACACTGCCATCAATCTCCCTCCAGACACTCCCCCACACTTTGACCACTTACCCATCACTCTTGTCACTTTCTGGAGCACTTCTGGAAGTTCTCATTTGTGAGTGTCTCTAGTTGGAATGCTTTGCCTGCTTTGATGTTCTGAATGGATCATTTTGACTTTGGGGAAGAGCCAGAAGTTATACTATGCCAGGTCCAGTGAATAAGTTGGATGGCACTTAGCAACAACATTCACTATATTTTTGATCCCACCTTATAAAGACACTCACAAAAGAGGACCTCCAGAACTGCTTTACAAAGTGGCAAGAATGATGGGATAAGTGTGTTCAGAGCGAGAGGGAGGCGTGTAAGGGTGGCTGATGGCAATGTCTTTTCTCTCATATTCACACATGTGCACATAGTAGGTAGTACACCAGCCCCCATACACATATACACAGCTATGCACATGTGTGCACGTGCATGTACACAGGCACGCATACTCCCCCAAACATGCCTGTCAGTGAGTCCTCACACAAGCTCTCACAAGTACAAATCTAATCACCGTTTCCCTGCCAAGGAGATGATTACTTTCTTGGAGCGTGGAGGGAGTAAGAAACCTACCTAAGGTCACACGGCTGGTCAGTAGGACAGCGGAATCTGAAAATGACAGATTGGTGCTCAAGCAGAGAGGTACAGCACCCGCCTTCTGGGGCAGCACAGTAAGGCCCTGGAGGAACCTCAAATGCCCAGAATCCCCGAGGCCCGGGCTCCTCTCAGCCACAGCAAGCTCGCCTGGCAGCACTTCCGGAATCCACATCCTCCCACACCTCTGGACGTACCCAGCACTTCCCCAGCAGCTGCCCGGTGCAGAACAGACTGGCGCGGGTCTTCACTCTGGCTGGATTCTGTTTTCTTGTCCCCATGAAAGCCAGCTGTTTCCTTCAATCTGGTATCAGTCTGGCCAGGAAGTTTTGTTTTGCTTGTAATCCACTGTAAGAAGATCAGAGGGATCTGTTGGATGCAAGGACGGAGCCAGCTGGGCATGTGGAGATATGGGCTGGGCGTCCTGGTCTGGCCCTGTCCCACTGTCCTGGTATGGATTTGTCTCTCCTGTTGCTTGTCGGCTAGGGGTTACAGACATAAGCAGTGTTATCCAAGCTTGTCTCCACACCAGGTGTCTGTCCTGAGGACCAGAGGCTACTGAAGGCAAGCTGTCATGGGGAAAGCCCTGCATAAGAGCAAGCCCGCTCTTCCCACACATTCCACCCCCAGTCAGGTTCTGACCCAACAGCTTCCCACGAAATACGGCAAGTCACAAGGCAGACCAAAGTCAAGGCGTGAAAAGCTACACTCTACTCCCACTGGCATCGTGGCACAGGTGTGAGTGTACAGCTTTATGGCGGAGGAACCAATAGCTCAGCCTCCCATAGCTATGCCCTACTGTCAGCATCCCGTTCTACAGAGGAGTTAGCCAAGATGCAGTCACCAAAAAGCTCATGCACAGTTGCACTGCTGGGAAGCAAGGGAGCCAGGGTCACAAGCCAATCACCCTGGCTCCAGAATGTTAGCCAGGAGCGTACAACTGCTTACCGGTGGGCTCAGTCTCCAAACACTGAGCACTCTGTGTGCGAAGTGCAGCAGTCAGAGCACCATGATTCTCAGAAGCAAAAGAACAATACTTGGGGAGGGAAGAAAACAGTCAAAAAGCAGCCAACGTGAGCTGCTCCCTCCATTCTCCCCCCTTCTCTGGCTCAGGCCTGGGGCCAAGAAGGTTCTGTGACTTCCAGGGATGATGTGGACAGCCAGCGAGTCCAGGAGCTAGGATGAGTCAGCTGTCTGTGGCTGTCACAAGGCCAAAAGTCTTTCTCCGCATCTTAGGGGCAGGCCAGTTTACAAGAAGCCAGCACATCTATTCCTCGGACAACTGGAAGCCAAGTATCCGGAGGTGAGAACGAGGTGAAGGGAGGAAACTCAAGTGAACATAACATGGAAGGAAACGGAACAGTGAGTGAGGCAGGGCTGCTCCTGAGCGTGGGAAGACAGAGCTCCGCCTTCAAAGGAGGAGGATTAGCATGAAGTAATGCTCAGTACAAAATTTCAGAGAAAATGTATTTCAGGGTACCTGGCTGTATTTCCTGGGAAGGATCAGAAAGCCAACCCAATGATTTGGGGCTGCCTGGGGCCTCCTTAGAAGGGCAGGGAGGCCAGAGGCACAAGAACAACAGCGCCTTGCCATGAGAAATCTGCCTGTGTCTGGAAACCCAGAATGATCTCAGAGCAAACAGATTAACTGGGGTGCAGGGCAGAGGGTGACAGAGAGCCCCACAAACAATGTTGCACAGGGAGTCTGTGCAAGCTCCAACTTAAGGTAATGACAGGCAAAAGCTAGAAGAAAGCTAAGTGTAGCCCTCTGTGTCCTATAGCGACTGAGCCCTGTCCCCTCTTCCTGTCCATCTAGGCAAAAGCTGTCCTCTCCCAGGCTGACTCCTCCCTCCCTGGTACTTTACCTGGAGGCGGATATGATGTGATCCAACTTAAAAATGATAACCCTTCCAAGGCCCAGCTGACACTTTTTGCATGTACACTACAGCCTATCAGTACACCTCACGAATTTTCCTTTATTATTAATGCAAGTCAAATAATATTGCTCCCACTTTGATCTAAGAAAACCACATCTTGATGAAGTTAAAAAATAGTTTGTTCAAGTCACCCAGTTACTGAGTGTCTGAGCCCAGATTTCAATCCAAGTTTATGGATTACTAAGTGAGTCCCTTCTGCTTTTCCATACTGTCAACTCTGTACTCAGTACATAAATTACCACGATGGGACAGTGCCACCTAGTCACCAAGCAGCACTGCTAGGGTGGTCACAAGCAAGAGGGATACGGATCCTGGCAGAGTGGTTAAGATTACAGACCCTGGAGCCACCATGATGTTTTGAGCCCTGGTTTTACTGTCTACCATCCCCATGAGAAAGGTGAACCACATTGATTTCTCTGTGCCTCAGCTTTTTCATTTGTAAAATAAATGCAATGTTATCCGCACCTCAGTAGAGTCTCCTGGGGATAAAATAATCAGCCAAAAGTGCAGAACTTAGAACAGTGCCCACAGCATAGCCACTTTTTTACTGTTATGACTGTGGTAGTCAAAACTGACTTCATCCTTGCCTTTATAAGGTTTAACCCTAGTGAAGGCAGGCAGGCTGTGAGATAAAAGCAAAGAAAAGCACTACTGCAAACCATGCTGTGAAAGGAGAAGTGACATCAGCACGACGGTGGGACAGGAATTTCCAGCACTTGTACCTCACAGAAGCGTCCTGTGAGCAACCATCTGTGCATAAAGGCACCTTTACAGGAGCTAACGAGTCCAGGCGTGAGGTTACAGCACCTGGGCAGAACAGTTCTGTGTTCCATAAGAAAAGATGCACATAGAGAGTAATAAGGACAGGTTCACAGTGTCCAAATCAGCCCTCCCCAAGCCAGCTCAGTGCAGCACAGACAAAGACACCCTTCAGGTATCAGGTATTCAGGAAGGAGAAGTGGGCATAGACTGCTGCAGACCCCAGCACCAGGCCTGCCTCAGGGAACTCTGATGCCAGGCTGGCCTCCACTGACCCAGGCTCTAGTTTCACCCCACAGACACACTCAACAACCCACCTCAGTGGAACACAATGCCAGCCTGGACCCTATGGACTCAGGATCCAGGCCTGCACCATGGGCCTGGGCTTTAGGCCCACCCCCATTTACCCAGGCACCAGGCATGGCACAGGGACCCAAGCTCCAACCCATCCAAGTGGGTCCAGGCTCTAGAATAACCCCTACGGACAGAGGAAATAGGCTCACCTGCACAATGACCCAGGCACCAGACCAGCCTGTCAAAGTTCCCAACCAGCTCTCTCCTCATAGACTTCTCCAGCTAGTCCACCCCATATCTCTGGATCTCCTGGCCAATGTATGACTTTCTCTGCCAAAGCCAATCTGTAAAGAATGTAAGGGTGTCTACTTCTTCAAAGGCACAAACTCCAACACAAAGCACAAGGAACATGAAGTGCCAGAAAAACATGAACTAAAGGAACAAAATAAAGCACCAGTAACTGTCCCAAGGGAATACAGATCTATAAATTCCCTGACAAAGAATTCAAAATAATTGTTTCGAAGATGCTCATTGAACTACAAGAGAATGCAGACCTTCAACTAAATGAAATCAGGAAAATAATATATGCATAAAATTAAAAGTTTAACATAGAAACAGAAGCCATAAAAGGAACCAAATAGATATTCTGGCACTGAGACATAATTATTGAACTAAAATTCCCATAAGGAAATTCCACAAAAGACCTGCTCAACCAGAAAAAAGAATCAACAAAGTCAAGGTTAGGTCCTTTGAAATTACTCAGTCAGAGGAATGAAAAGAAGGAAGATGTAAGTGTGCAAAAACCTTGTGCATTTTATGGGGCACTATCAAATGAACTGAATATATATATATATATATATACACATACACACACACACACATGCACATGTATGAATTATGGGAGCAAAGACAAGAAAAAGGACACAATGTTTATTTTAAAAAACGGTAGAAAACTTCCAAATCTGAAGAGGGAAATAAATGTTCAAATATGTGAATCAGAAATCAATTATACATAAAGAGATCTCCATCAAGACATATTATAATCAAATGTTCAAGAGTCAATGACAGAATTTTAAAGTAGCAAAAGTGACTTGTCATATACAAGACAACTGTCATAAGACTATCTGTAGATTTCTCAGCAGAAACATTGCAAATTAGAAGTGGGATGATAAACTCAAAATGCTGAAAGAAAAGCTGTTAATCAAGAATACTATACCCATCAAAGCTGTCTTTCAGAAATGAAAGAAATGTAAAGACTTTCTCAGACAAACCAAAGATGAGGAAGTTAATCACTACTATACCTGTCTTGTAAGCAATTCTAAAGAAAATTTGAATTGATAGACAAGGATGCTAACAAAATAAAAACATATGAAATATTTTAAAAATCACCATAAACTATGAATATATTGAAATTTGGAATACTGTAACGGTAGTGCATAGATCTCTTTAAAACTTCAGTATAAACTGAAAAAACAAAAGTATTAAAATAACTGTAACTACAATAATTTGCAAACAGATACTCAGTAATACAAATTCTGATACCAAATAACATAAAATATTGGTGGTGAAGAAGTTAATATATAGTTTTTTGTGTCAAAGTTGTCATACACTTATAATGCCTTATAAACTAAATGTTTTATGAAAGCCTCATAAAAACCATGAAGAAAAAGCCTATAGTAGATACTCAAGAAGAAAATAATCAAAGCACACTACTGAAACAAACAAGCAAAAAACCACATTAAATCATAAAGAAAAACAGTACAAGAGGGAAAAAAAGAATAAAGGAACTATAAAATAGCCAGAAAAAAAAATTGCAATCCTAAATCCTTGCCTCTCTGTAATTACTTTGGATGCAAATAGGTTAAATTCTCCAATCAAATACAGAGTAGCTGAATGGATAAATAAAAACAAGATCCAACGATACGGTGGATGTAAGAAACTTGCTTCTGCATATTTAAGGACATACAGACAGGCTTAAGATATTACAAACAGCAACCAAAAGACAGTGGAGTGCAGTGAAGTGACTAGCTCATGGCCATAGAGCCAGCAACTGGTGGCGCTGGAGTCTGAACCCAACCAGAGCCCGTAGACCTCTCAGGCATCCACAGGAGAAGAAATGATGGGATCAAAGCCCAGAAGTCACAGAGAAAAAGTGGTAGGTTTAAAGGTTTTACCTCTTGGTAAAACCTGCTTACGTGGACTGACACCTGATACAAGAGGTTCAGAGGTGATCAGGATGGGTAAGCTCATGTTGAAGTGGACCGTGAGTGCTATACTGAAAGGTCTGACTTCAGTCCTGGGGGTGACTGTCCTATTGACTGTGACTGAGCTGGAGAGGGACATAGTCAGACTCCTGCT